CACGCTAAAGATTTGGCAATTATGACATGAATGGCTTGCCTAGCACGCGGCAGCGCGGCATGCTACATGCGGCACACTACACACGACACTTCCTACGACTCGAGATGCATCATCGAGCGTGGCACGCCTGTGCGCGGCACCAACACACAGTATACCTGCACCACCCACATCCAGTAGCTACAGTTCATTTCTCATCAACTGTTACATCTCCCTGTGCTGATACGTGCACGAAAATCAGAAATTCCCTTGTGTTTTGTGACCCTAACCCAGGTTTCGAAATCCAGGTACTCCGACTTCGCTGTCAGGGTACTCATACTTCATCATGATTCAAGTGGCTGGGAACTCACGATGTTTCTCACAACTCCTTGGCTACTCTCCTCAAAGACTCCTTCTTAACAATCATAGAACTGGCCTGAACCTCCTTGTGATCCTCCGGCATGACGCTCAATTTGCTCACAAAATGATTAATTTACGCCTATCTCTAGGCCCAAATATTTTTAAGAGTTGTAACGTGATCGACTTAAAAGATGTCATAAAACGAAACTCATAAATTTACGAGAACAGATAGGAATCGACAGAAAATTAAGACTTTTAACCCCATCGCAAATCTCATTCCATGCAAGGAAAGAAAAGACAAGAGAAATTTCTAAATCACGGGACTTGAATAACAACGAGGAGTTTCCAAACAAATTCAAACTTGTCTAACAAGACAAAGAGAATTAAACAAGGTCTACCAAAAAGTACGAGAAATGCAATTCCAACCAAAAAGAGGAACAATTAATCATTTCAAATCTGACATTCGATCAACTGCTTAGCCTTGATTCTGCTCGGCTTCATACTGGGCCATCGTGTATACCCGTGCTCGACCTCCTTCGCCAAACCTCGGTTGGGCTTGCTGATGTTGCGGTTGAAATGGTGGGGGCTGCTGCGCATTCTGCTGCGGGGGCGGTGGGGGAAGCTGCTGCTGATGAGGGTAAGGCGGTTGCTGCTGATAAGGTCCCTGTTGCTGCCTCTTCGGCTCAGGACACATATGGGCAAAGTGACCGATGCGTTGACAGTTGTAGCAGGTTTTCTTAGCAGCTCGACACTCTCCGTTATGGTTCTTGCCGCAGTTAGGACACGCTAGAATAGGGTCGTGGGTGGCGGGGCGGTCATCACGTCTGTCTGAGCCTCCACGCTTTCCCTTTCGGTCATCTTGGTGGGAATCAGCCTTTCTCTTGCCCGAACTAGAGCCGAGCGGCGTGGAGGAGATGGGCTGAGCATACTGAGCAACGGTCTGAGAAGGCTGGGAGACATGATAATATGAAGGGACTGGGCTATCGGAATGAGACAACTCTCTACCTCCTGAGCCAGACTAACAGTGTCGGCGAAAGACATCTGTCCGTGACTTCCCACTAGTTCACGAATCCTCTGATTGAGCCCCTTGAGAAACTTGCGGACCTTCTTGGCATCGGTGTTCACTACGTCACCCGCAAAAAGGCACATGCGGGTGAAGGTGCGGATATACTCATCCACTGTGGAGCTGCCCTGCTGCAAGTGGTAAAACTCATGCTCCATTCTGTCCCAAAAGCTCTGGAGAAGGAACTTGCTACGCACCATCGTCTTCATCTGCTCCCAAGTGACAGCATGAAGCTCCGCCTCTGGCCTCTGGGTCCAGTGGTCAATTCACCAGTCAGAGGCGTCCTCCTTCATCTGATAAGCTGCGAGAGATACCCGCTAACGGTCAAGGAGGGGGAGTACAACAAAAATCTTATCCAACTCTTTCATCCACTCCAGCACCGCTATGGGGTTCTCAGTCCCCGCGAAAGTCGATGCATTCATCCTCTGAAACTGGACTATGAGCTAAGTAAGGTCCATGGCTAGAGGGGCCTGGTGATGACGACGAGGCGGGGAAGGAGTCGGGGATGGCTGACGGTTACGGTTGTTGCGGGTAGTCATACTTCTACATTGAATAAGCCGAACAAGGTTTATCACAAAAACAAACAATATAATCAATATTTATAGAAGTCTAGAGTTCGCCCATAAACACTAGAGTTCGATAAAATCAAGGTGAAGAGATCCTAAGCCCTGATTTATCATATTAATAATCAAGCAATACGCAATAATCTCCAAAATTACTTAGGTACTCATACCTGAGCTGGCGCGACACGACGAGAGTGAGTGGTCATAACATAAGGTCAAAGCATATAATCACATAATCAATTTCATACTTAGACCAGTCTACAGAAACGCAGACTGGCTCTGATACCAAACTGTAACGCCCCACTTTTATTTGCCAAAATTCAGAATAAATTTTTCGAAATTTATTTCAAAACACATGGCGGCGCTACTCATTTTCAAACATTTTCCAAAAATATCATAAATTATACTCCCGTACGGGTTCAATCATCATGTCAACACCCAACCAGGTTCATAAATAATAGTAACTCCCAACACTGGGTTTCTTAAATCAATAATACCAGGGAGTACACTCCCTATCAAAATCCGGTACTCAATCACAATTCATAAATGCATAAACTACACTAAGCAATTTAACAGTGGAAATAAATCATGAGATGACCACCAATCGACTCCCTTCGTCGTGCTCGCCATTACTGACCTGCATCCATGAAGAGCAGGTGGAGATGAGCACAAAAGGAATCCGTAGTGCTCACCACTATGCACGTAAATAACAACATAATATAACAAGGGTATGGTCACAGCATTATCATAAATCCATTCGTCATGTCAAATCTCCAATCAACACATCAATAAATCTCACTCATGTGCACATCTATCATTAGCCAT